ATAATTTGTTTTCTTCAATTATACCTCAATAAAGTTGTAAAAAAATTACACTGATAAATGATTGCTACTTCTCCAGTAAGAAGCCTTTCTAGTAATATCTGGTTCCTTGAAGAGTGGGGTTTTTGTTGTTGTTCCTATAAAACCTGTTTGTAAAAAAACATATTGAATGACCAATACCACTATCATTCTGTTATGCTTAATAGATATAACACTTTTTTCAATAAAAGTTAACTAGCACAAGGTCTGATATTTAGGGTAGATGCTAGGTAATAATTTTAAACAAGAAGTTAAAATGTGCTTGCTGGTCCCAGAACATGCTTTTTTGAGCCACTGCCACTAAAACCATCATGAACATAAGTCCTCAACGGAGACGATGGGCCATATGTGCTTGTGATAGTGTGATTTATAATATGAAACATATATTTGCTCTTAGTTGCTGTTTCTGGCACAGATCTTTTAAAGCCCTTAGAATTTCTTAAGTGATAAGAGTAATTAAGTTGTCTTGATATTCATATCAAACCCTTTTCAACCACATCTGAGTTTGTATTAATGAGGTGACTTTTGGAAACCACCTAAAGATGGGGGCTGGTTGCCAGGGGAACCAACCCATGAATAGAGGGTTGAAACTTTCAGTCCCACCCCAACTTCCCAGGAGGAGAGAGGGGCTGGAGGTTGAATCAATTGCCAATGGCCAACGATTTAATCAACTATGTAATGAACCCGTAGTAAAAACCCAGAAGGAGGCGGTTAGAGAGTTTCCAAGTTGTTGAGCCCCAGGCTTCCATGTGCCCCGGTGCTGGGCCCCAAACGCCACCAGGACATGAGCTCCTTTGTGAGGACAGAACCTCATCCTATGCATCTCTTCATCTGGCTGCTGACTCACTCCTTCAATATCCTTTGTAATAAACCAGTAGTCTAGTGAGTAAACTAGTTTCTGGAGTTGTATGAGTCGCTCTCACAAATTGACAGAATCCAAGGAGGGGTGTTTGGGACCTCTGATTTACCCAGTCAGAAGTGCAGATGACAGCATGGACTTGAAATTGGCATCTCAAGTGGAGGGTCATCTAGTGGGACTGGGCCCTTAACCTGTGGACTCTGATGCTATCTCCAGGTAGGCAGTGTTAGAATTGAGTTAAATTGTAGGACACCCAGCTGGTGTCCAAGAATTGTTTGGTGGTGTGAGGAAAAAACCCACATGCTGGATTGGGTGCTTGGATCATGGTACAGAATATTAGTGGTGGTAAAAAAAAAAAGTTTAATCAAATTTTCAAAAGACATCTGTTTTTATTTCTGACTACTCTTATTCATTAAGAAATGCTTTAAAAAAGTTAATTATGTCAACTATAATTATATACACATATAGTCACGGGATGTGGAGTAGAGTGTGGGAATGGAGTCAATGGAATTGTAACAGATAAGTATGATATCGGGGGTGGGAGGGCCGTGGATCAGTGGAGGGGGGTTTTTACTTTGTGAGGGGTGAAAAGGATAACTATTGCATTGTTCTATACACCTGAAATTAAAAAAAAAAAGTTAATTATCAGAGTTGATGGATGTGTTAAGTTGATTGTGGTAAATATTTTACAATGTATATCAAATTACCATGTTGTACACTTTAAATATATACAATATTATTTGTCAATTACACCTCAATAAAACTGAAAAAAAAATTCTAATTTCCATGATTTACACATTTCACCAATGGGAAATGAGAGCAGTTAAGAGTTTTTAGGGTTTTTGTACTTTTTAAATGGAATAAAAAAAGAATAATTAAAAAAAGAGAAGTCTGTTTTCAAAAAAGCAATTTCCTTGGGAAGTACAAAGTAACATTTTAGATGGTTATAACTGAAAACTGTGTTTCTAAGCACAACATGCACCAAATGTCACCTTTTAAATATCCTTAACATCATTAACATAAGCATAAATGTAAAGCCATAAATAATTAATAAAATTGAAAAACAATTTACATCAAGAAGGATACATTTCAACAATCTTCACAAGTAGTAGATTACCTGATCAGGAGGTTGAATATGTTGGACACACTGAAATATGTGAATTCCTTGAGCAGAAACAAGTAAAGGATGTAGAGAATGTTGAGACTGGCTTGTGGCAATCAGTGCAACCAAACTTCCCATGGAAACAAACTCTTTCATCATATCATTCAAAGCTAGAATTAAACAATATAGTGTAAGAGCTCAGTAAATATAAACATGAAATTTTAAAATTATACATTCATTAAAAATAATGATAACCTAAAGTCAAGCTTTAAGGCTTCTTCATACCTTTCAAAAATGAAATCTTCCAATCATTCATTACTTTGTCTGTTGAGGACCTAATACAGGCCAGGCTCTAATGGCATAGGAGGCACTGCAAATTCAGTCTGTATACTCGAACAATGCCTAGTGTTGTTCCTTCCCTTTGGATCTTATCAAATAAATGAAAAGGATGATATCGGGTTGTTAGACAAGTCATGACGTATTTTTTCTATGGTTTTCATTGTGAAAATGCGTCATGACTTTTTCAAAAACCCAATAAATTTCCATATTGTGTTCTGTTAATTAAGCAAAATACAGCTCATATTCCTATGACTTCCTGAACAATGTGTTTCCACCCCGATCTTGCAAGGTTTGGTTGGCATGAGGTTAAAACCAAAACAGGCATTAGTAACATATGAGGTGGAACAATTAAGTTCGCGAACTCATCCTAGAAAAAGTGCTACATACCTCATTGCTGAATATCACTAGTTACTTTCGAAGTACTCCTCTTGGGAAGCTATGCACTGATGCCAGCACCTAATCCACCCTTCAAAGCAATTTTGGAACTCATTTTCTGTAATGGCCATCAGAGCTGTCGTATTATGCTTGATGTCCTAAATGTCATCAAAATGTCTTCCTTTCCATATTTCCTTTATCTTTGGGTAAGGAAAGAAGTCATTGGGGGCCAAGTCAGGTTAGCCGGGAGGGTGTTCCAATACAGTTATTTGTTTACTAGCTAAAAACTCCCTCACAGAAAGTGTCGAGTGAGCTGGCTCATTATGATGCAAGAGCCATGAATTGTTGGCGAAAGGTTCAGGTCGTCTAACTTTTTCATGCATCCTTTTCAGCACTTCCAAATAGTAAACGTGGCCAACTGTTTGTCCAGTCGGTACAAATTCATAATGAATAATCCCTCTGATATCAAAAGAGGTTAGCAACATCGTTGCAATGAGTTCGTGAATTTAATTGTCACAGACCTTATATATCTGAGTCCTGAGCTAAAAATCTACAGTATTCCCTTAAACACTAGACTTAACAAATCTTGCACATGCTACAGGATTCAAAATGAAAAATTAATACTAGTTTATAATAATCCAAAACCACTATGATTGCACTGTGTATCTATTTTAGCTCCCAAGTAACTTGAGGCAGCTGAATACTGCCAAATCCTCCAGTGGCCTGCCCCTGCCCCCAGTCCTCTCACTTAATTCTAAACTCCAGAAGTGGGGTATTCCTAACATACCATGATTTCTTCTACCTCTGTGCCTTTGCCTGTGGACCACACTTCTTTGCTTCTTCATTAGCATGAAGCTGCTTCATGCTAATTTCTACTCCTCCATCAACTCATCTCAGTTTCAACTCCTCCAAGACGCCCTCCCTGATAACTCTTTACCCCACGCTGCCCCCAATTTGGGATATGTGCTCCTAAAGTACCTTGTATACACTTCTAGCAGAGCATATCCAATCACCTCCTAGACGTTTCACCTGGTCAAATTACCTATTCTTTGAATTTTTCTTTACTCACCTGTAAAACCAGGAGAATGTCTGCCTTTATAGTACAAAGCAATCCTGAGCCAAGAAACAGCAGTCAACACATGGTAGCTATCATTATTACTATCAGTATTCTGCACTAAAAATGTCCTTTTACTTTTCTTTCCCCTCCAGATTTTGAGGATACAGACTGTGCAAAATATTTGTCAGACAAGTATTTGTCAAATGAATAAAGCAAGAGTAAATCTGTACAATTAAGCAATTTTATCTTCATTAAATTTATAGGAGTGACACTGCTTAGTAAAATTATATAGGTTTCAAGTGTACAGTTCTATAATACATTGTCTATAATATTGCATTGCATTTCTTCTACATTATTGAATTTGGTGGCATATAGTCCTTTATAGTATTCTTGTATGATCCTTTATATTTCTGTGGTATCCGTTGTAACGTCTCTTACATTTCTGATTTTGTTTATTTGTGTCTTTTCTCTTTGTTCCTTAGTGAGTCTAGCCCAGGGTTTGTGAATTGTATTAATCTTTTCAAAGAACCAGCTCTTTCTTTCATTAATTTTTCCTTTTTTTTAAATTTTTTTATTGGGGAACAGTGTGTTTTTCCAGGATCCATCAGCTCCAAGTCAAGTAGTTGTAGTCAATCTAGTTGTGGAGGGTGCAGCTCCTTGGCTCATGTGGGAATCGAACCGGCAACCTCTGTGTTTTGAGCACTGCACTGTAACCAACTGAGCTAACCTGCTGCCCTTCCTATTATCTTTTTGTTCTCTATTTCATTGAGTTCTGCTCCAATTTTTATTATTTTCTTCCTTCTGCTGACTTGTGGGTTTCATTTGTTCTTCTTTCTCTAGTTCTTTAAGATGTAACGTTAGGTTGTTTATTTGGGATTTTTCTTGTTTCTTGAAATAGGCTTGTAATGATATAAATTTCCCTCTTATTACTGCTTTCACTGCATCCCAATAATTTTGATAGGCTATATTTTCATTCTCATTTTTTCTATATATCTTTTGATCTTTGACTCAGTCATTCTTTAGCAGCATTTTGTTTAATCTCCAAGTATTTGTGGCTTTTCCTGCTTTCTTTTAGCAGTTGATGCCCAATTTCATAGCACTGTGGTCAGAGAATATGCTTGGTATGATTTCAATCTTCTTAAATTTGCTGAGGCTAGTTTTGTGTCCCAATATATGGTCTATCCTTGAGAGTGTTCCATGTGCACTAGAAAAGAATGGGTATTCTGGTGTTTTGGGATGCAAGGATCTGTAAATGTTAATTATGTCCCTTTGGTCTAATGTGCCATTTAAGGCTGATATTTCCTTATTGATTTTCTGTTTGGATGACCTATCCATAGCTGTCAAAGGTGTATTTAGTTATTCTACTATAATTGTGTTTTTGTCAGTTTCTCCCTTTAGTTCTGTTAGTAGTTGCTTTATATATTTTGGTGCTCCCTGATTGGGAGCATATGTATTGATAAGTGCTATGTCTTCATGTTGTATTGTCCCCTTAATCACTATGAAATATCCATCTTTGTCTCATTACCATTTTTATCCTGAAGTCTCTTTCGTTAGATAAAAGGCTACACCTGCTTTTCTCTGGACACCATTTGCTTGGAATATTGTTTTCCACCCTTTCACTTTGAGTCTGTATTTGTCCTTGTAGCTGAGATGTGTGTCTTGGAGACAGCATATGGTTGGATTTTGTTTTTTGATCCAGTCTGCTACTCTGTACCTTTTTATTGGTGAGCTCAGTCCATTTACATTTAGGGTGATTATTGATATATGAGGGTTTCCTATAGCCATTTTATCTTTTGTTTTCTGGTAGCTCAGTGTCTCCATTGTTTCTTTGCCTTCATGTTTCTGTCTGTTATTTTAGTTTGGTGGTGTTATATTATTTTTTTCCCCTGTGTTTCCTCTTATTTTATGTTATGTGTCTCAGTTCTGGATTTTTTTTTTTTGAGTGGTTCCCATTGTTTCTGTAAAAGAAAGTTTCACGTATACAGTTTTTTTCCTTCAGCATGTTTATCTCCATTCCCCTTTGCAAATTCAGACCTTTACCATCCTCTCTTTTATGTTTTTGTTGTCACAAATTATTGCTATTTATGAGCTGCAATAGCAAACTGTCTTCTTTTCTTTTTCTCTTATCTCCTTTATTCTTTATGTTATGTTTAAGTGCATAGTGCCCTATTCTGTGTAGGGGTTGTCATTTCCTACTTCTGTCTGTCTGTGGATAATCTTACTCACAGTTTTGTATCCTTTTGTCTTTTTGTTTCAGGTAGAATAACATCCTTTAGTATCTTCTATAATGTAGGCCTTGTGATGGAAAATTCCCTCAGCTTCTGTGTATCTGGAAAGGTCTTTATTCCTCCTTCATGACTAAAGGATAACTTTGCTGGATATATTATTCTTGACTGGTAATTTCTCTCTTTCAATAGTTTGAATATTTGATTCTACTCCCTCCTGGCTTGTAGAGTTTCTGCTGAAAAGTCTGATGATAACCTACTGGGCTTTCCTTTGTTGGGTACTGTCTTCTTTTCCCTGGTTGCCTTGAGAATTGTCATTAATTTTTGGTGGCTCCAATAATAATGTACCCTGGAGAAGACCTGTTAGGATTGAGGTAATTAGGTGTTCTGTTTGTTTCTTGGATTCGAGGACCCAGTGCTTTCCACAGATTTGGGAAGCTCTTGTCTACAATTTGTTTGAATAGGCTCTCTGTTCCCTTCACCCTCTCTTCTCCTTCTAGTATACTCATTACTCTTATATTGCTCTTTCTGATGAAGTCAGATAGTTTTGAGGAGTTCTTTAATTTCTTCTAACTCTCAAGTCTCTCTCTTCTTCCAGTGTGCATCATTTCCAAATTTCTATCTTTGATATCACTAATTCTTTTTCCTCCATCTGGTCAGGTGTGTTTCCTAAGCTCACTATTTCATTCTTCATCTCTTTTATTGAGTTCTTCAGCTCTAGAATTTGTTTGGTTCTTTTTATTTTATTTTTATAAATTTTATTGGGGAACAGTGTGTTTTTCCAGGACCCATCAGCTCCAAGTCAAGTAGTTGTTTCAATCTAGTTGTGGAGGGCACAACTCAGTGTCCCGTGTGGGGATCAAACCAGCAACGTTGGTGTTATGAGCCTGCACTTTAACCAACTGAGCTAAGCGGCCACCCGTTTGGTTCTTTTTAAAAATTTCAATCTCTTTGGTAAAGAATTCATTTTATTCATTGATTTTATTTCTGAGTTCATTAAACTGCCTATCTGAGTTTTCTTGCATGTCAATGAGTTTTTTCAGAACTGCAATTTTAAATTCTCTGTCGTTTAAGTCACATATTTCCACGTCTTTATTTTCTGGAGATTTTTCATTTTTTGAACTGCCTTGTTACTTTGGTTATTCATGGTAATTGATGAATTATATGTCTTCCTGGGCATCTATAGGAATGAATTCTGCAGCAGGTTGATAAAAAAAGGTCTTTCTTTTGTTTTCCAGTAGGTGGTGCTGGAGCGTTTTATTTTTCTCTTGCTCTGTTGTTTTCTAGTGGTGGGAGATTTTCTGGAGAGACGAGTGTCTCCTTCGTGACTAGGTCACCTCGGCCTTGGCACCACTCCTGTGGAAGTATGTGGTGGGCGATGGGATTCTGAGCCCCTGAAATCCCAGTGTTACCACCCCTGCAGCCAGATGCAGAGCTCTGTGAGATGCAGGGCTGTTCCTATGCAACACACAAACATGTCTGAGAGACCTGTGATGCCTCTACTGGGATCAACCACCAGAGGTGTGGGTGGGTTGGGCTGGAAGAGGCGGCTGGCGTGTTTGTAGCTTTGTTTTCCTCCGAGTAACAGCGAATGCCAGACCACATCTGCCTCACCCCTATAGCTTCTCCCTTGTCACTGGGATTAGCTGCAGTGTGTGTTTGTCGCTCAAGAGCTGTCTCCAGCTCTTAGGGCTGTAGATACGCTGCTCTTTAATCTGACATTGCTGGTTTCTTGTGCTGCTAACAATGGGAGGGTGTGGGGGAGGCGAGCTCTGGGAATGTAAGGGAAGGTGGCCAGGCTCCGTGGCTTTGTTTTCTGCCTGGCAGTGAGAGCTGTTCGACCACAATTATAGCACTTCTGTATTCAGTCTTTGCCCTAAAGTCTCTGCCTCAATCGCTGAGTTCAGCCGTGCTATATGCTGATCACTCAGGCAGGAATGCTCGGGGCCACCGACAGTGCACCTGCAGGCTGAATCCTCCCCGCTCCTGGGACCACGGTGGCTCTGGGCTGCGTCAGCGGCCCCCGCCTCTGAACCTCTCCTTTCCCTCCTTCCCTGTTCGCCCTAATTCGCTGACCTTCAGATGTTTTGATGCACGAGTCTCTCAGACATGTTTGTGTGTTGCATAGGAAATCCTTTGTTGAATTATAGTTGTTCAACTTGTAACTTCAAGGGGAGAGATCAAGGGGGACCCCTCATGTTTCTGACATTACCTCACCCAATTAAGCAATTTCTAATCAGTATAGGAGAATGAAAAGGTCCCAAAGACTAATCATGAAGTTGCAGAATTTTCAAACTGCTCTTATACTACCAATTTTGCTAATACAGGACAACTGTAAAACACTATCAAAAGCTCAAAAGCAACACATAACATGGCATATATTCTATTCTCTCAATAGAGATTTACCATTAAGACCAAAAGTGCTGCCTGACCAAAGAAAAAGCCCTGAAGCCAGTGAATGGATGCGTTACCATTACCATGTGCCAGCCGCTGGCTCTGCATGGCCTCAGGACCACGCTCGTGCTCCGGGGGTGCAGGCAGGCCGACAACAAGATCGAGGTCATCCAGCAGAACAACAGAAGGCTGCCTCCATGCCGCCTCTGAGAAAGCTGCCTCTAGGGTTTTTTGTATATTTTCAAGCCTTTTCCCTTAACACAGAAGATATTAAATGGTTTTAATGTTATTTCAGGGCTAGAAAAGTTCAGACTGTCTTTTTAAAAGCATTAGAGAAGTTAATATTGAAAATTCGATCCATATTTTAAGATAGCCATCACTAAAATTTGTTAATCATTAACATGGTTTAATTAATACAGCAAAGAGCTCAGTAAAGTACTGAATTTTATAAAACTGAAAAAAAGGAATATGCTACTATAATCTCTGTATGTATTTTTTTATACCTAGCCTCATTCCACAGAGAATTTCAGATGGCTTACAACAAAATAGTGAAGGGTATGCAGGTCGTGGGAAAATGCCTACAGAGACTAGAATTGCTATCTTTGAATCATAATTTGGCTTCAAACTTCCTGGTGAATTACAAAGTTTTAATTTTTAAACTACTGAAAACATTCCAATTCATAAGCCAGTGTAGAGTTGTTGTTACTTTGTTCTAAAACAAAATTTTCACACGAGGCTTAAAGCAGGACTGTGAGAGATGGGCAATGTCTCTAAAACCACATTTATAGCATATGAATAAAGGACTGGATTTTCTATGGCTATTTCTTAGTTTCTTATCATGTACTAGATTAAAAATACTGAGAGTATAATGACTAATTTGGAATATATGGTAGCGGCAGCCAAGGGAAAAAAAATTAACTACTGAAAGTAAAATCTTTCCAATCTTTTAACTGAATAGATCAAAATACAAATGTTAAAGACTTAAAGTACCAAAGTGTATATGGTAAATTGTAATTCTCCTTTCTGCTGTCCACAGACATCCACTTTCTCTCCTCTGAGGCAACCATTCTACCCATAGCAATTCAGAGACAATTTATACCCATTGTATATTCAGATACTAAATTCTCAGAGTGAGATTTCCAGGAATATAGCCTAAAAAGAGTTTTGGCTAGGTAAAAAAAAAAAAAAAGGCCTCCATAAAATATGGAGAGTTTAAAAATTTTTGTTAAAAACATTAGAAAGCCAAAGGTTTAAAATTTCTAAGGAATTTCAATTTCTAAGGCATTTCAAATTAGCTATTTGTATGTGTTAGATTAACAGCATTAAATAATAACATGGTCTTTCTACCAAAAATAGGATTTATGTAGTGTTACCATATTCATACCTCGTAAAGCTTTACAGTCAACTATCTCCACATGGGCATCCAATGCATCAAATGCTTCTTTACAGATTGCTTTGGCTAATGTTGACTTTCCACTCCCCTAGAAAATAATTAATTCATAAGAACTCTGAATATACTCAATCACAGAAATAGCTTCTGTCACTGTGGTAACTACAAAGATTCAGCTTCATCAATCAAATATATATAAATAATATTATAGACTATATGATGCTAAATGTCAATTATAGCTCAATAAAGCTGGGGGGAACCCCACATCCCTGAAATTCTAGGATCACATCATGGTGAGTGGCATTTAACATAAAATTAACTGACAGGAAGGAGTAAAAATCTGGATTCAGGAAGTTGTATGAGACCACTGTAGGATAAGTGGGATATAACCACAGGGAAGGCTAACAGATGACAACACAATCTCAGGAATATAAACACCCTAGAAAGGGGCATTTCCCCATTCCAACGCCAACATCAATTTGTGGTAATACTAAAAATAATAAACTGCTTTGAGAAAGTTAAAAAAAAAAGAGAGAGAGAAAAAAAAGTATCCACCAATCTAGCTGTGTGAGATATGCAGGGGTTATTAAAATAGGGCTTTTCTTTTAAGCTGCTAGAAGCTGAGGATATCCTATGTTCATATTAGTGCCTATATAGAAAACAAACATCTAGTTTGTTAGTTAAAACAATCGCTGATGCTTAAATCTTTTACCTTTAAAAACAGGTAATGCTTCATGATTTGTTACTAGAAGGGAATAATATGAACATTAAATAATTATTCTAGATAAATGAAACTTATTCCTATTTAATTTCAATAATATTAATGGAAAAAATATTGCTCACTTCCCTATTATCTTAACTGTAATTTTAGTTCAGTTTCTTGGTGATTTACAGTATAATTGTGACCATCAATTAGTGTACAGAGACTTTTAAGGTAGGCAGAACTGTTTACTTTTATATTAAGTGACTCCAGACTATTCAGGGTTTTGATCCAGTGTGCACTTTCTCTTTTCAAGTAAAAGCTTAAGTTTTTCCTGATTATAAAACTACATGTAAAAAATACAAAATTGTAAATACTTATGAGTAGAAAAAGGTGAAACATCTTCTGTAATCACCCCTCCTCACAGAAGTAACCACTGTCAATTATTTCGATGTGTTATTGTTCCAGGCACTCCACACATATTTTATGTAAATTTATAAAGATAGGATTACAGTATTAATGCAGGTTTACAATAAATCATTGTCCAGGTTTACAATAAATCATTGTTCTCTATCAACAAATATAGAGCTGTACCTGCTCCCTAGTACAAAGCCACTGTGGGGATGTATTGGACTGTAATGTTTGAAAAGCTACTTCCTAAGTATATATTTATGCTGCTTCTAATTTTTACCTATTATAAGCTAAAATAAATATCTATACACATATATTTACTTGTTAGATTATACCTTTAGAATAAATTTGCAGCAGTGAAATTCACTGCAAAAGCTTTTTTTTTTTTACATATTTAAAATTTTGCTAAACATTGCTATAATGCTCCTATAAAAACATTGGTAGGGTTTTTTTTTTTTTTAAGATTTTATTGGGGAATTGGGGGAGAGGAACAGACAAGTTGCTGTTGTTTTGTTCTTCAGTCTAGTTGTGGAGGACGTTGCTTCACTGGCCCATGTTGGTATTATCATTGTGCTCTTCCCGGGTGAGGCAGATTGGTTGCCGGCCTCTGGACGGCCATTCACGGCGGCTCTTGGCAGCTCACACGGGCTGCCAGCTGCTCACGCTGGCTGTCAGCCACGCAGGGTAGCTTACGGCAGCCCACTGCAGCACGGGCTGCAGCCTATGCCGTCGCCGGCGACTCACGGCAGCCCAACTCCAGGTCGAGCTGTTGTTCACCATCTTAGCTGTAGAGGGCAATGTCACTGGCCCCATGTGTGATCCGAACCAGGGCCCTGCTGCTCAGAGCTGGTGTCCCAAGCCAGCTCTTAACCAATACGTCACTCGGCCAGCCCCCATTGGTAGGTTTTTATAGATCTTTTAATATATTTCCTCCCTCAGCCTACTATTATTTCTTATCATTGTTGTTTGTCTAGCTTTAACAGCCCTGCATCAGTTCTAATGTTTTGTTTTTCATTATTGTGGACTGGAAAAACAGCCAAGCTTATTGTGCAAAGACAGAAATTTAGCAGGCATCAACAAATACTACCATCATTATAGTTTACAGAATTGCACTTGTATTTAAAGTCAATGGGAGAATAAAGAAATGAGAGGTGCTGGAGTATACGCTTCACCTGTCAAAATCATTTGGCCTAATCAAAGAAATTCATATTTGTGTAGCACTTTTCAGTTTACAGAGCTTTTTCATGTATAATATATTTTTTCCTTAAATGAGGTAACCCTAAAACGGCAGATAAGAAACTAAAAACTACCTGAGGTCAAGCCAGTAAGTACAGGGCAGATGTGGGACTCAAATACAGGTCTGCTTGCTCTTCCTATGAACCATGCTACCTCTAGGTGAGACTCAGGAAGTCTGGCTTCTGATATTCCTTTTTCAAAATGAATATTCTACCATGATGATGCGTTTTGAAATCTGACTTAAGTAATCTCGGAACCACACTGAGTAGTTGCTGTATTTTACCAGGTTTGTGTATCTGGGATAAATCCCACTTAATTGTGGTGTGTAATTCTTTTCATATATTGATTGATTTGATTTGCTAATATTTTATGGAGAATTTTTGCATCTATGTTCATGAGATATTGGTCTGTAGTTTTCTTTTCCTGTAATGTCTGTCTGGTTTTGGTATTAGGGTAATGCTGGCCTTATAGAACAAGTTAGGAAGTATTATCTCTGCTTCTGTCCTCTGAAAGAGATTGTACTGAATTGGTATAATTTCTTTTCTTTTTTTCTTTTTATTGGGCAATTGGGGGATGGGAACAGCGTTGGGGAATCGGGGATGGGGAAACAGACAAGTTGCTGTCCTTTTGTTCTTTAATCTAGTTGTGGAGGACGTTGCTTCACTGGCCTAAGTTGGCACCATCATTGCGCTCTTCCCGGGCGAGGTAGATCAGTCGCCAGCTTCTGGACGGCCGCTCACAGCGGCTGCTGGCTGCTCACATTGGCTGCTGGCTACACACGGTAGCTCATGGCAACCCACTGCAGCAGGGGTTGCAGCCTACGCTGTCACCGGCGACTCACGGCAGCCCAGCTCCAGGTTGAACTGTTGCTCAGCATCTTAGCTGTAGAGGGCAGTGTCACTGGCCCTCATATGTGGGATCCGAACCGGGGCCCTCTGGTGTCCCAAGCCAGCTCTTAACCAATGCACCACTCGGCCGGCCCTGGTATAATTTCTTAAGTGCCTGGTAGAATTAACCAGTGAACCCATCTGGGCCTGGTGCTTTTTGTTTTGGAAGATTATTAACTATTGATTCAATTTTTTTAGATATAGGCCTTTTTATATTGTCTTTTTCGTCTTGTGTGAATTTTGGCAGCTTGTGTCTTTTAAGGAATTGGTCTATTCATCTATGTTATCAAATTTGTGGGCATAGAGTTGTTTGTTACTATTACTGCTTAATTATCCTTTTAATGTTCGTGGGATCTGTAGTGATGTCCCTTCCCTCTTTCATTTCAGATATTAGTAATTTGTGTTCTCTCTCTCTTTTTTTTTTTTTTGGTTTGCTCCAATTTTTTATGGGGCTGTTACACAGGGATTTTTCTCTGTGATAATCCACTGGGTTTACAATTTGTGCACTTTGTTATTTGTGCCCTCCATTTAAACTTAAAAATTTAAAAATATGCAAAAATAAAATCAAGCAAATTTCATCATGGCTTTTCCTTGTTCTTATGATAAATTCATAATTCTTTTTTCCTCTTTTCCATTTCCAGCTTTATTGAGATATAATTGTCATAACTTTGAATAAGTTTAAAAGAATAAGTTTAAAGTATACAACATGATGATTTGATATATTTATATATAGAAAAATGATTACCACAATAGGGTTAATTAATACCTCCATCACCTAATTACCATTTCTTTTTTGTGGTAATAGATTTAAGATCTATTCTCTTAGCAACTTTGAGATATATAATACAGCACTGTAATCACCATGCTGTATGCTATATCATCTCTCTTTTTTCTTAGCTTGGCTAGAGGCTTATGAACTTTATTGATCTTTTCAGAGAATCAGCTTTTGGTTTTACTTATTTTCTCTATTGATTTCCTGTTTTCAATTCACTGATTTCTGCTCAAGTCTTATTATTTCTTTTCTGCTTACATTGGATTCAATTTGCTCCTCTTTTTCTAATTTCCTAAGGTGGAAACTTATATTGGAGTAGTTGCTATGTCTTAAATAAGAATGAGAAGAAAGCAGCTAGGCTAGTAACAGGTGAAAAAAAGTTATTATATTGGAGTTAAAAGTGAACAGAAATGAAAAAGCCTTAAAATTTTGAATTGCAAAAAAGCACAAAGAATCATAAAGACCATATTGTATCCCTGGCACCAATACTGTGTTGTAGAGAATAAAACTCCAAGTGCTTTAAAAGGGCAGGGAACCTCAGGCAAAACTGACAAAGTTTAAAGAGAGAGGGCACAATCACCAATATCAGGAAACAGGACATCACAACAGATTCCACAGCCATTAAAAGGATAATAAGAGAATACCACAAATAATTTTATGCTCTTAAATTTGACAACTTAGAAGAAATGGAACAATTCCTCAATAACTACCAAATGTCTGCCAAGATAAAATAGACAATTAAGGAAACTGAATTTATAATTAAAAAATTAACAGTAAAGTATTCTCCAGGCCCAGATGGTTCCACTGGAGTTTTTACCAAACATTTAAAGAAGAATGAACACCAATTTTATATAATCTCTTCCAGAAAACAGAATAGTAGGGAACACCTCTCAACCCTATTATCCTGATAGCAAAACCAGACACAGACAGTATAGAAAAAGAAAACTATAGACTAATATCATTCATGAAATTAGATGTAAAAATCCTCAACAAAATATTAGCAAACAGAATTCAGCAATGTGTAAAAAAACAATACATCACAATCAAGTGGGATTTATTACAGATATGCAAGGTTGGTTCTACATTTGAAAATCAATCAACCCTATCAATATGCTAAAAAAGAAAAATCATATAATCTTATCTATTGATACAGAAAAAGGGCAGAAGGAGCATCACCTTATTCATCACCACTTTCCCAATATCTAATAGCAGGTACTCAAAAATGGTACTGAAGGAATGAATGCTTTCCATGTCTCATATTAATAATCCTATATAATAGGTGATCAAACCCCCAAAAAGAGAAATTAAATGTTATTAGTGAAATTAGCACATTTTAACCACATACCTTTCCTCCTGTGAGTAAAAGGGCTCCATTCCTAAGTCCTGCCACAAGGGACATTAGCTGCCGAGACAAAGGGCGTCCCAGGAGGCTATGAGTGATGTGCTCCATGGAGGATACAGCTAAGGAATTTACTCCTCTGCAAAACATGTAAGTAGTTGCATGATAAAACACCAAAGCAGAACAAAATCTAGCCATAAAAAATTGTGAAACTTTCCTTCCAAAGCTAGTTACTGATTTTTAAAAGAGTAAAATCTTAGAAATTCTCCTTTACTTGAAAGTATATATATTGAATTAATGCCAAATCTGAGTCACAGCTTTTAAAACTAGTTTTTTATTTTCAAACATAGGCAATAACTAAAAGTTTTTTCCTAACAGGATTCCTTAAGGATTTTGTCTTAACATACACAAACACTGCTTCTCATAATGATTCCTGTTTTGGTAATCAACACAATCATAAATGGGTGCTTTTGAAGTGTTAGGATAATTGAAGATTTATTTCCTCTTAAATGCCGCCTTTGAAATCCAGTTTCAATCTGTAGATTATACAAATATGAACTTCAGCCTAATTCTTGACTCTGACTACCATTTTATTTCTGATAAATATAATAAATTCCTAAAATTAGAGTCTGAACTGAAGAGCTTTTACTTTATATGTGAATATTATGCTATATTTAAACATTGTTACTTTATGGTTTAAACTTTTTACTAAAACATTTACAGACTATACTATTATAGGAAATCAAAACACTACTACTACATCTACTAAAAGCCTCTGTGAAGAATTCTGAGAGGTAATATTTATATGAGATCTCATGTTGTATAAGAAATAAAGAAATTTAGAGTTTTTTCTCAGATTTGTCTAAAAAGTTGAGGAAAACACAAATAATTCCAATTATTAGTCATTATTAATAACTAATAATTCCAGTTAATACTGAAGAAATAACTTAATTTAAAATATTTTTAAGCATTCAACTAATGTTTATAAATTTAACTTTTAAAATAAATTTATTAGCTCTAAGAATTATTGTTTTATTCAAGCACACCTGATCTAGGTCACACCTAGTTGCTTTCTTCTCACAAATCAAATCTAAAAGGAGACTTTGGATCAAGATGGCACAGTAGGCAAACACCTACTCCCACAACCACATCAAAATTATAATGAAATTATAGAACAACCACCCTTGAGAATCACCTGAAGATAAGCTGAACAGAAGTCCTATAACTCAGGCTATAAAGAAGAAGCCACATCAAGACCACTAGGAGGCGCAGAAATGCAAAATGGGTTGATCCCACAACTATGGGGGGCAGTTAAGAATCGGAAGGGATATCTCAGCTGCAGAGACACTGCTCCCCAGCCCAGGGTTCCAGTGCTGGAAAGAGAAGTCACAATTTCTGACTGAAAATCAGTGGGAAATCTCTCCAGGTGAGACAGAGGGCTGCTGTAAACCCAGGCATTCCTTTAAAGGGACTGAGCACAGACTCACTTGCTCACAAACACTCGCCCTAAGCTCCAGCAAAAGGACAGCGGGTCAAAAAGTGCCAGGGACAAATAGGGAGAAACTGAATTGTCTGGCTTTGCGGTGAGTGCTGGAGGGGCAGCTCTCTTGGAGACTAAAATGCCAGAGGACACCACTGTTCCTTTGTTGAGCCCTCCCCCCACCACAGAGCCTGCAGGCACAGGCGGGCACCAAATCTGAGTCTCCATTAACCTGGCTAATGCCACTCTCACCCCACCCTAGCAATTCTCTGAAATCCCGTCCCACCCAATTCTCAAGCCTGACCTGACCCTCTCTCAGAGGCTAATACACACAAGCAGCTGGCCTGGGCCCACAATATGGACTTTCCTAAAATCTCCCAAGGTCCATAAACCCTGACAAGCAGTGGCTGGCTTCGGTGTGCCCTGAACCTCTGCTAAGGGGCCCCAAGCCTGGCACTAGTGGCAGCAGCCTCGGTTCACAGCACAACCACTCTCAGTGCCTCCAAGCCCATCATAGGCAGCAACTAACTGTAGATCATTCTGTACCTCCTACCAGGTTTCCCTGTGCCAAAAAAAGGCAGCAGCTGACCTTGGCCAGCACTGGATTCTCTTCCAAGAGGCCCTAGAACCAACACACTTGGTGGCTGGCTTCAGAGCACCACCCAATTAGCACCAAAAATGACACACCCAAAGGGTGGACTCAGCAGGCACCAGAGCCCCACTAATATGAGTCCCACTCTGTGGGGTCAGCCCATACACAACAGCTTGTCCACTGTAGTCGTAGTCAGACCTCACTGACAGTCAGCCTGAGGGTCAATCCTACCCACTGATGTGCCAACAGCAACCAAGGCTCAAGCTACAACAAGAGAGCACATACAACCTCACAAGGGACACCCCTGGAGCACCCAACTCAGGTGAATAGGGAGACTGAGCAACTGGGACCCACAGCACACCTACTACATAAGGCCACTCTATTAAGACTGGGAAGCATAGCATCCCTACCTAATACATAGAAACAAACATAGTGAGACAGCCAAAATGGAGAGACAAAGAAACATGTCCCAAATGAAAGAACAGGACAAAACTCCAGAAAAAGAACTAAACAAAATGGAGCTTAGCAATCTACCAGATGCAGAATTCAATACACTGGTTATAAGAACGCTCAGGACTGGCTGAGTGGCTCAGTTGGTTAACAGCTCGCTCAAGAGTTTGAGCTCTGAGCAACAGCGGTTTGATGCCCGGCCCAAGCTGAGCTGCCACTGAGCTGCCAACAGGTGGCTGGATGGCTCAGCTAAAAAAACAAACAAACAAAAAAACGCTCAATAAACTTAAGTGAAGAACAGGTGATCTCAGTGAGAACGTCAACAAAGAGATAGGAAATAAGAAAGGAGATAGGAAACATAAAAAAGAACCAGTTCAGAAATGAAGAATACAATGACTGTAATGAAGAATATATTAGGTAAAATCAACAGCAGAATAGATGAAGCAGAGGATCAAGTCAGCCAGTTTAGAAGATAAGGTAGCAGAAAGCGCCCAATCAGAACAGGAAAAAAAAAGGATAGTTTAAGGGGTTTCTGGGACAACATCAACTGTAACAACATTTGCATCACAGAAGTACCAGAAGAAGAAGAGAGAAAGGTAAACACTGAAAGCCTATTTGAAGAAACAATGACAGAAAACTTCTCTAACCTGGTGAGGGAAATAGACATACAAGTCCAGGAAGTACAGAGTGTCCCAAACAAGCTGAACACAAAGAGGCCCACAACAAGACACATCGTAATTAAAATGCCAAATGTTAAAGACAAAGAAAGACTCTTAAAAGCAGCAAGAGAAAAACAGTTTGTTACCTACAAGACAGCTCTCATAAGACTGTCAGCTGATTTCTCAACAGGAACTTTGCAGGCCAGAAAGGATTGGCATGAAATAGTCAAAGTGATGAAAAGCAAGGACCTACAACCAAGACTACTCTACACAGCAAGACTATCATTTAAAGCTGAAGGAGAGGTAAAGAGCTTCCCAGACAAGGAAAAGCTAAAGGAGTTCATCAACACCAAACCAGCATTGCAAGAAATGTTAAAGGGACTTCTTTATGAAGAAGAAAAAAGTAAAAAATAAGAGTAAAAAAATATTGCAAAGAGAAAAATTCTCACTGACAAAGGCAAACACATAATGAAATTTAGGATCAACCAACACTAAAGTTGATACAAAGGTTAAAAGGTAAAAGCAGGAAGATCATGTGTGATTACAACAGTAAATTAACACATTAAGCATGGGGCATTTAAATATATAGATGCAAATCTGCATCACTGGTCCACAATATGTTAAGACACACACACACACACACACACACACACACA